TATGCTTTTAATTAAGCGATTTAACTGCTTATCATACTATGGAACCATTCAATGATTGATTTTCCATGATTTAGAAAAAAATAATAATCAACTGATCAGTAGTACGTCCTTTTCTTGCATACTGAATGAATTCCATTCAGATTATATGTAACAAAGTTAGATTAGCACATATTATTGTTCAATATTAGTTCTAAAACAAAACAAAAAAATAATAATGGAACAGGAGAAAAGTAATGTGATGAATCAACCGAAAAAACAACTCAACTTTTTAGTGCTTAATTAGATTATAAAGCTGTCGTTATTTCGTCGACTTAAATGCTCCATTATTTGCTCTATCAGAAAGGGGATTAGTAGAAATTGTAGTAATTTTAATAGTTGAATTTATGAGTCAATCTAAGTTAGACCACTATTGAAACCCGGATGCATTGGATGGCTGTTTCTTCCTAATATGGGACTTCTCAGTAGTGTGGATTTACAATTCCTCATGGGGCACTCGGACCTAAGATCTTCGGTCTCGCATTCGAATGCTTAACCTCTAGACTACTGAACTGGAATTCAACAGTGTTAATGTTTAACTTCAATTGATCCATGATATTGCGCAACCCTACATGCACTGCCTGAATTGGATAACTGTCTCCACCTGACACGAATTGTATTCCACTGGTCACAACTAATTAATTTAAAGAAAATAAAAGCACATTAACGGTTGAATTGTATTTGTATTACAATCATCATAATTAATAAATGAATTACTAGCATATATTAATGAAATATTGGAAATTTAATCATTACATGGTCACAAGTTCATCCATTGTTTAACAATTAACTTCATTGAATAGTTAATGAGAACATGTATGTACCTATGAGTTATACAAGTTTAAACACTGATAATATTATATTGAACTAAAATGATTATAATCTCTTTGAAGGTTAAAATAAATTATTGATAAAGTACATCTTTTGTATTTTGGTGGAGTTTTGTTCTCTGAGCTGGATAATTTGGTCGTGGAACTTTCATCGTTCTTCTGAACGACATCAACATCGAGGTGTACGGGATAAGCTGTGAACCATATTTTTACCTGAAGTTTGCGCTGATGATGTTGTTCAGAAGAACTACGAGAGCTTCACGACCAAACGATCCAGCTCAAAGAATAAAATTCCACCAAAATCATTCACCTGAGCTATAAATCTTCTCTATCATCTCAAAATCTTTTGTATTGTTCTTGGCTATCAAAACAACACTTTTATTCATATAGCGAAAATCCAAAACAATAAATGGCTGTACCAACTTGAGTGTAATGTTTATTTTAAAGATAAAGTATATTTGACTTTTAAATTTAACAAATTATGAAACAGTGGTATGTTTTAGATATACAGGAAGGTAACCTAAATATATATACGATGATTTCAATAGTATCATCACTTAAAAGTATTGCCATAACCAGGTGTGACTGACTGAGACTATCATTGGAAACCTAGGAGTATTGGAGGGTTCGTTCGTCTTATTATGAGACTTCTTGACAATGTACCTACAAGAAATGAATGCAGGATTTTCGGTCTTGCTAGTGAATGCATAATCTTTAGATCACTAAGTTGGGATTTAACTCGGTTAATGTCTAATTTTATTCATTGCACATTTATTAATCAAAATAGTTTGAAAGTGAAAGAACCATCTCATTTTATTGATTTAAATGACAACTCATCTCTAATGTTTGTTATATCATCTAATTACTAAAACCTTTCAATGAGATTGAAAGTATACCAATTCCGGTATGATGAAGTAAATTGATATACTAATAAGGAAAAGACTAGACTGAACAACAAAAGTATAACTATACTTCCTCCCCGTACATTATCTCTTACTAAGCCATATAAATGTTAGACTATGCTTACCCTATACCTGAAAAGTAAGTCCAGTAATCACCGCTTTATTCCACAAAGTCATTACCCCACGTTATCGTCCTCTAATTTCTACACATTAACTGTCATTATTACTGACAAGAAATAGCTTAAAATGAAAATCACTATGCAAAACTGTTGGTCGTTGAGTTTGGAATAATTTGTCCTACAACTGAACCAATCCAATGACAATTAGTTGCTGGATTGAATTTTCATTCATTTTAATTCAATACTTTTCTATTCTTCTAAATTCATTCGTATACTTATTTTGTGTGAATCCTGTTCTATATTAGTCCGATTAGATTTATAATTTCATGAGGACTATCGTCTCTTTCGAGATTTCAGAGGTTCCTGGAAATTATATTTGTTTATCGCAACCTGAAGTCATTTAGCTTAGTTACTGTATTAACAAGAATTAGAGAACAGGAAATCAGTTACTACTAAGCAATTTGTTATAACCCACATCCAATTATGCAAATCGAAATATTTCGACAAAATACTCTTTAAATCAAATTGTACTATGTTTCACCAATGACTCTTGACCTAGTCCCCAGGTAATGAGAAGGCAAAAAGTTTATTACTAGTATAGGGGTTGTGGAGATTATTAAGTTTTTGATTGAGATCACTATCACCATTGGATGCCGGCTCAGTGGTCCAGTTGGTTAAGCGTTCGCGCGCGAGACCGAAGGCCCTGGGTTCGAATCCCGCGAGCGGGATCGTGGATGCGCACTGCTGAGGAGTCCCACAATAGGACGAAATGGCCGTCCAGTGCTTCCAGGTTTCCAAAGGTGGTGGTCTAACATCAATCGGTTCATGATCTCAATCAAAAAGTTTATTCGAACTACAAACAACGACGATAGAGAAATAAACATAAATATTGACAGAATTCTTCAGTATGTTCTTGAGAACTGGCAATTGAAGATGATAATTTCATAGCGCCTGATTCAACAGAATCCAAGGCATTTAAGAATTCGTTATGATGATTATCAAAATATCCATTTTCCCAGCTGGTATCGGTAGAAATTTTGAGAGTGATTTCTTTCAAAACATAATTATTACTGCTATGTTTTGAAGAGATTACGAGTTCACCTAATCTGCGAACGGAACGAAGACTCAGTGACACAATGACCAAATCAACTAACTATTCCGATGAATCCCAACCCCGCTAACCAGAGAGAGAGAAATTCAAGTTTGGAAGAACGGAATATATTCCACAAGTAGCCGGAAGCACGAATAGCAACAACCACAACTCAAGAGTATATATACAGCATAAAAATGTCTTTGGGAAACGTTACAGAATAGCACATTAAAAGAGACAACGAACCAATAGTATTTAAGGTCCTTCCAAGTGGGAAATACGACATGAAGGTGAAAATGGGTGCTTTTGGCACGAAGACAAGAAATTCAAATCTCCAAAAATAAGACATTTACAAAGTAACTTCTGGGGATCTAACATCCCTGACAATTATGTAAATAAGTAATGTTAGCAATCCATGTCAATGAAAACCAAAAAATTGGTTGGTGTCTATAAAACTGTTCACTTTCCGAATAGTGATTTACTTGTCATGAGTTTTATAACTTAATTCTAGTCATAAAACTTTACATAACTATTGAATATGTCAATCAATTAGAGGTAGAAAGTAAGAAACGTTCATAAAGACTTATTTATTAATAACTTATATTATTAATAACGGCAATCCTAAGGCACACTAATAGATTACGTAAGTAGTTTAATTGATTAAAATTGAAGATATCGTGTGATGTACTTAAGAATCAAGTACAGAGGGGCAGAGTAATTGATTCTTTATCATCAACTTGATTTTGAATTCTAGAATCCTCTCATTTCTATACATACATATTTCACGGAAATCACCAAACTGCATCATGACGCAAGCGCTAACTTGAAATCCTGAAGGGAAGCGGAAAAGAAGGTCAAAGAACACAGTACGTCAGGAAATAAAAGCAAATATCAAATGCATAAATAACAACTAGGAAGGACTGTCCAGGATAGGGTTAGATGGAGAGTGCTGATCGGCAGCCTATGCTCCTCCATGAGGACTGACAGGCATAAGTAATATATTTCACTGTCTTTCTGAACTATGTTGTTAATATTCCATCTTTCTCATGATCATTACTACTATCATCATCTCGATCTACTTTACTAGTCATCTTTATAAATTCATTTCATTATGCCAATCCGATTTGATCATTGAAACTAATGAACATATGTGCTAAGCTCTATATTGAATAATGATTATTTAAACAGTATAAAGTAAACTTGAGAACCATATCTAAATTGTGTTAAAATTCATCGTACTAATCAATTATCTCGACTGGAATTGAAATCTACAACCCGTCTAACTAATCAACAACAAATAATGTATAAAGTGACTTATTTTGACTACCACCACCACCACCAACAACAACAACAACAATAAGAAAAACGGCATAAAGAATAAAATAAATAACTTTTGTTGTTGTTGATTAATTATGAATAAGCAAACATGACAAAAAAAAAGAAATGAACAACATTGATTCATATTAAATGGATAGTAAACAAATAAATACATACTGGATATCAATATTGAAATCATTTCGGATACATTAGAGAGAAAGGGGAAAGATACAGAAAGTGAGGGATAAATCGAAATATTCAAAATGCAGAAACCATTTTTTCTTTGTAATATACATACAATGTAATATATAAGTAATAATAATGATAATAATATGATTAATCGTAGCAGAAAAAAAGTATATAACAATAGTGGATTTTAGAAAGTGTTTGTTTATGTGTGCGTGTGCCTGTAGATATGTTAATGAACGACCGTGTTCAACTCTTCATTAGTGAGAGATTATTGTGTACATATATCAATAGTTGTTATTGATTTCAATAAAAAAAAGTATCAACTAAGACTAATTAATAAACTATGATTGATCCTCTGCTCCATAGGGAGTAACAGGCGTAATTAAGTCAGTTAGTAACAACGTACAACTTCGTACATCAGTTCAAGTTGCCATACCACATTAGTACAGAGACGCTAAGTAAGTAGTAGGTATATATATTGTTACATAATAAAAGTTAATGAATAATTATTTATTTATTAATTTATACAAATTGCACTTTCTTTATTGACAACACAATGCATTAATTGAATTAAATTTTCTAATCCATAACGAAAACCATTAGTTAATTCACATGTCCAATAATTTTTATTATATTCAATATTATTATTATTATTATTACATTGAGTAGAGTAATTTTTCTTAGACCAATGTGCAAAATCAATTAAATAAACTTGAGCATGTACGGTTGAAGTACTAGTAGTAGTAGCAGTAATATTAGGAGTATCATTATTGTTACCGTTATTAGTATTGATTTCATGAATAGAAGGAATATTATTAAAGTTATTGACGAATTGATTATTCAATATCGTTGAAGTTTTCACAGTTGGATTTCTTGTTGTACATGAAGTATGATGTGTGTTGTTGTTATTTTTAATGACAGTGGTGGTGGGTGCTGATGATGATGCAAAACATGATTTGGAAGGACAATGTTCATTATTATTATAATTATTACTTGGTAATGACTCGTGAATCAATAAAATTGAAGAACGACAGAATGTGAGCTCTCTTGCACCATATTCGACATACCAATTTAAAATACGACCAAGTTGTATGATATAATTTTGAGCAAGTTTAACACAATAGGTAGGATCTGCACCTAGAAATGATTTTATACCTGTGAAATGCAGAAAAATAACTACGTGAATTAATACACAAAAAACCCCACTAAATTACACGTAAACAACTTGAAACCATTAGATTGAGTAGTAGTGTTTGAACACGGTACCGTCTAGTTCAATGCTCAAATAGTAGTCCAAGCAATCTTTACCTTAAAGCTGAGTACATTAATCTATATTTGATAAATGAGTTACAACAACTTTTATGTAACAAAATTATTGTCAGGCTCTTTGATGTCAACACTTTCATCCTGTTAAATACTATGGTTGGTTCATCCGTAATTTTTTTTTTTAAATTACACTAATGTTTAGATTGATAAGGAAAAATCCTTAATTTAATTGAGGCATATATTCTAGAATGTTTTGCAAGTACCCAATGTCGGATCTAAATAGACGACTCAGATTTATTGGTTTTTACTCCAGCAGTCGTCTTACAGAACCAAAAAGTCTCAATACATAATAAAAATGATTAAGTATTCACTGTAAAACTTCAAAACCTGCGCAGGATCCCTGACTAAGTCATTGGGTGAGTACTGCTGAGAAATCTTCATGTTAGGGTGAAACATCTGTCCAGCGATTCCTAGTTTTCATTGTAACCCGCAAGCGAAATCCATCTGAGACGAATACAGCTAACATAATAAGGAAGGTAAGTACTCTCCATAGATGGACACCAGATATTGTTTAAGTAAAGTAAGTATATAAAGAATACCATTTGGGATGCATGGCATTATTCAGTAATTGACTGATACACTGTAACTGAGTTGGAAAACAATATCGAGTTATCCTCCGATAAGTCTTGCTAACTGAACACTATATTCGATTCCTAAGCTATTCTCGCAACCCTCAAGCTAGAACTACACAGCGACCTGAACACGAGAGAAAAGGCGCAAAATATGCGAGAAGCACTTAACTCCAAAGGTTCGTTCCAATACAGAAAATATAGGGTTTTTATAGTATTTTAGATGTCCCTAGGTTCCCCGAAGATTCTGGAATGCTACTAAACATAGTAGCTGTATAGAAATCAGCCAATCAGAAACTCTACATGTGACTTTCCACTTTTTTGATGTTTCTGGCTAAAACTTCAAGTGAACGCTGATTGGATGAAATGCCTCTTAGTGTTTCCTGAGCCTTTCTTGTCTTTTGCGAGTTTTCTGGATCACCCCAACATCCTCGTTAGAGTACAAAAGTTTAATACGATTGGTCCAATATGTGAATAGCTTGACCAATCAAATAGCAAACTGATTTTCTACTTCAATCTATCTAAAATGTTGATTTTACTGTTTGAGCAGATATTTATCACCTACATAAGACTAAGAACCATAGATCTATTTCTACGAGGTTTTATGTTCTCTATACTCAATAATAATTAAATCGTGAATATTCCATAATGTCGTACGGGACAAAATCATCCCAACGATATTCCTCAGAGAACGCAAAACCATTAAAAATATTTATTTGAAATATAAACTATCTTTTAGCACATCACAAATAAACTTCTGACATATGTCAAAACGACTCTCAATCCAGTCCCAAGGTACTGAGCAGACAAAAGAAACCAAAAGCTTTATTCTGGTTTCAAGTGATATGGTTACTAATAGAATTATTTAGTTTCCCCTTGGAACAAACTCTGCCTTTTCAATAATTATCGCGGGTGCCGAACAAAGTGTTATGGACGATTGTCTGTTGCAAATATCTTGATTACGAGAAAATAACGATAGAAGGGGAACCCGATAATCGAAACGGATAAAAGTTATTGTCTTTGTAGGAGTAGTGTATCAGATTCTATTCATATTCTGCAACCTATTAAATAGCCTTTTAAGAAGACTTCTCTAAGTACCGTTGGCATCCGCATGTTCCTTGAAGATAAGAAACTTTTGTAAGAGCGATTTTCTTCATTGTTATTACTCTTAACTACTTTCCTATCTTTCTTCTTTTGTATCTTCATAATTTGCAGTGTAACTCATTTTGTTCATATAATGAAATTATGTCATGTATAGTTACATCTTTACTGACTATTTTAAATGAATAGAGAGAATGATAGATACCAAGTATTTAACAGTCAGTATTATGACAAGATTAGCACGAATAATAACGACTAACCAATTGAATAAACTTGTTCTGGAGATAAAGTACGTCCAAATGCTTTAGGAAACTTAATTAAACAATGATTTTTTGTATCAGATATCTGTAAAATAGAATGTATTTTTTTTAGAAGAAAGGAATAATAATATAGATTACATTAATCAATTTACTGTATAGTAACTGAGATTCAACTGTCAAGCCTTCAAGTTCTAGCTGGTAATTATTTCTTCTGGATACTATCAATACGCTACAATAGTCAGTCAGTTACAACGTAGGACACAGCGCATCGAACTTGCCATACTTCATTAGTACAACAAGACGAACACCGGATTCATAGAAGCAGTTAACTCAATGGTGTAATATATATAAAGGAAGATTTTATGTAAGGATATAGTGCAGAAAGAAAGAATTAGTTCGTAGAAAGATATGAAGCGATTTTAATCTCTTAGTTTAAGGGAAGACAGAGAGTGTATACACCGACGCCATTGTGATCGATTCTCAGCCATGTCACCAAGAGTCTCCGACCATTGGTTACGATAGTCACACGGACCCCAACCAAGTAGTCTGCATCTACCAACATGGCACAGACTAGAAGTTAGTGTCTTCAAGCACTGATACCACGTTTTGTTTTGGCCGACCCTAACTTTCTCCCAACCATACCCGGTTAGCATTGTGCGTCGTGGCCATCGGAGTTCAGGTATATGTAACACACGGCCCAACCATCTCAGTCGATGAAGATTCATAACCTCATCAACTGATTTACCATCATTCCCTAATACCCTGCGTCTAACCTCACTATTACTTACCAGGTGATCCCAGCAGATGCGAGCAATATTTCTAAGGCATCTGTGGTCGAATACTAGTAGCTTACGGGTGTCTTCTACTCTTAATGGTCATGTTTCACCGCCGTAAAGTAGAACAGAACGAACTGATACACAGTATACTCGTCTCTTAATTGATAGACGGGTATCTTGGCTTCGCCATAGGTGACGTAAGTTGGCGAAAGCCAAACGAGCTTCTAGAATCCGTGCAGAGATCTTGTCAGACACTATACGCTACAATAAACTGAGGAACTGCACTATAAAACAATGTAATCGTCAGTTTAATTATAAGAACCATATATACAGAATGTACACAGTGAAAGAGAGCATGCTATTGTTTAGTAAACTTAGTCTATGATAAAGGTTTATAAAAATGTCACATGTCAGGCAATCATAAGCAACATAGAACCTTGCAAACGCATATACTGATTCAAGTTGTCACAAAATATGAGGATAACAAAATGAAAATATCAGTGCAAACTAAGACAGAATACTAGATGTAGTAGATATAATTAGAGAGGGATAAATTTTCGAAATAAAATAATTCTAAAACTCAAGATTTAAGGGTAGACAAAAGATGAATGTATGTATCATGTCACTTAACGTCTCCAACCACTGGTTATGATAATAGCATAGAGAACTCAACCTAGTAGTCTGAGCATATAAACATGGCTCACTTCAACTGTCGATAACGTCATCGACTGATGTCATGTTTTGGTTTAGTCCCTCAAAGTTTTCCTCTAATGTATTCTTACTTTACCTACCTATGCAAGTCCAGATAGCTGATGATGCTTGGATATACCACAAAAAATATCTTAAGAGACCTAGTCGACGAAGATCCACAATGGATTTGCTATTATTGTCAAGTATCTAAGGCCCAATTCCAATACTGTTCACTCAACTGTCCAACATATATGAGCGACTCTTTAAAGGGATCTACCAGTAACCTATTAATATCTCCTAGTTCTAAAAACCAGTCATGAAGTAGAACCCAGTGAACAGATTAAACAAAGACCTAGCTGAGTAACATATAATTTAATCTGTGACATCCGAGTACTTCCAAATAAATCGAATTTTAATGTTCAATGAGCATTGGTGAAGCTTACTTACGATGTAAAAATAAGAATCATTTCTTTATCCACCTCACTAACACACATCAAACTAACGAAATGTTTGGTCTCATAATCTATCAAACAGACATAGTCTCCAAGTGTAAATTATACTTGAAAAGTCATTAAAACGACACACAACTTACCTGCATACCAGATAAAGCAAACCCTAGTTTACGACGCCACATATATTTAACCTGTTCACGGGAGATTTTATCTGGTGAAGAACCTGGAAAATAAGTGACCGTACCCATTTTGAAATCACATATATTTGGTTGTTTGAAATCGGCCACCAGATCAGTTAAAGCCATATAGTAAGCTGTGACAAATAATTATAGGAAAAAGAGAACCAATCAATAAATTAAATCATTGTAATAAAATTTTCTGTCCACTGGTAACAACTTAAGATATGCTATGGACTTGACTCGCCACTTGTAATATCCTTGGTACGGTATGTTAAATGATATAACCTTGTGAACTGTGCTGTGCGTGAGGTCGACTATGATTGATTCACCTTTGGTTAGCTACATAGAACCTTTTTTTCAAGAACTTAATATGAAAGTGAGAAGAAGACAGTCGTATTAAACTCTATATCTTTAATGTAAAAATTCACATAGGCTAAATGTTATTTGGTTACACATTAGGAATTTAGCATGTTGATATTTCAACAAATAGCTAACAGTTTGTCGTTTCTTGTTATTCATTTTTACCATAATATATATATTCTTATGAAATACCATGCATGAATAGTATCTGAGTAGTGAATAGACGGAAATAAATTTAATATTTCACATTTCAAGAATAAAAATTTTATGGATATATAAAATAACACTTGGTGTCTTGATTACGGAACGTGGCCATTGTCAATAATAAACTTTTTAAAATAATCTTCAAGACGATCCACTGATTAGTCAAATTTTAGCCAAGTAGAGCCAATCGCTAAATCAAAGAGATGGAAATTCTACATAACTCCTAATAGTTTAACTACGCTATTTTTAGTAATATGGGGTTGTGGAGATTGTTATTTTGGGTATATTGAAATATCTACTGATCCATATTGATCTTATTCTTAATTAGGAAGATTCGACTGAAGTACCCTAGTCAGGTAATAATTGGGATTTTAAAAAAATCAATAGAGATTATCGTGGCCAGTTCAAATGCCCAGACTTGAATAAGGTGTTGCGAGGTACGAACATGAAACAAACAGTAACATTAAAAATATATCATTACCTTTAGTTCCTGGACATTGAAAAACTCCATAATAAGTTGGAATAAATTGACGAAGACGTTTGAGTGCTTCCGAAGCATCCGCAGAAAACACACTTTGGTAAAACATCACTTCACGCATACCTCTTTCACGATCTTGTAATGACTTGTAAATGACTGGTTTAGATTTATCTCGAAGTACTAGACAAATATAAAACATTTGAAATACCATGATCAGATACATTAATTTAAAATTTGATAGTATAAAAGTGTAGATAATATTTCTACATTTCTGTGAAGATGTGTTTTATTATTAGAACACTTGTGTTATGAGTGGTTGAGACTACTTAGTGTCAAAATCGGTGCTTATAAAGTCTTTAATCAGACTAAAAATGTATATGTACGATTACTTAGCGTATCTGTGTAAGAGCAATAAGCAGATAATGCAGTTATTTCACCGACCATCGTCGACCACATATGAGATTGACGAGGAATGATGAAACATTTATGTATTTAACATTTGATTTCGTAATTAAATTTTAGTGTATCGCGTTAATACAACGCTGAATCGAAAAGCCGAACTACGAAATTCAAAGAGGATATGTTCATTTCATACATTCAATTATAAGTAGACAATCATGTAAAAAAGCACCAGAAAATGAAGTATGAAGTCGGTAAACAACGCTAGTCCTAATCAAGGTGACTCCTCGTTAATTTAAAAACAGATGGTGCGAGTAGATAAACAACTAATTAAATCACAAATAAATATGAGCAGATGTACATATGCAAGCATATAAAAGAGATGTTCAAGGTTAACAAATGAGTACTTGACGAGGACAAACATGTGTACAGAACTGATGGAAAAAGTAAATTGATGATTCTGTCCAGAAGCTCGAGTAAATCAAGTGGGCGTTATAATGGATATGTTGCAACATTATTTGCCTTTAATATGAATAAACTCTTGGACTCTTATAATACAAAATCACTTGTTAGTACATTTAAAGGCTTAAGAGTGTAACCGATTATTAGAGTTAGCGCTCACTTGATGCAAATCATTTAGCGAATACAAGTACTTATACTCACCACTCTAACACAATTTGTGTGAACGATAGTCATACTACCACACGAATTAAACGAACAAGATAAAGTATGACTCAAAATTGCGATCCATCACATGACTGTCAACTTCATTAAAACCGCTAAGCAGTCACCACGTTTGTCGGTATGATTCATACAGTGAGGAAACCTGTATCCAACCAGTAAGTTTCAGAAACTCCATGCAATCGATTCTTTCATTCTCATTCATATGACACACAATTATTCTGTAATTTTTGTAAACTACGTAAGTATGCTGAATGTAGAATGAAACGAAAATTGTCACTTCCCTACACAAATTAAAGTATAGCGAAATAATTATGTGACCGGATAAATAGGAAATAACCAGTTACCAACAAAACATCTAGCATCATACGACCCTTACATCCAACTAGTTACTTCGAAAATCACAAAGATCATCTTGTGGAAATATGTGAAACATACTAGGTATCATTACCTAACAATAGAGATTACTGGTTTATAAATAGTGTTGTAACAGTCAATTACTTATGCTAAACAACTTACTTTCGAAACTACTTGCATTTTCTCGAGAATGACCAGCCACCTGGAAGGCATATGATTCCGTACATGTAGGTAGAGGAGGAACATCACCAAACACCATAGATGTATTTGATAAACAAACAGGCGATTTTTTTTAAATGCTACAAAGGTAATTAGTAGCATGGAGTTCATTTGATAGAATTTCGGAAGACTAGCGAAACAGTTACATAATAATTTTTACAAATATACACAGACATTATGGAACATAAATTGTAGTATATTCTGACTCGTTTGGCATCAGTGTGATAATAATATCTGATAGTACAATTTCTGCTTAAAAACATTGTACTAGCTCATCTTTTGAGTTAACCAACTTTGTTAAGATTTTCTTGAAAGGATAACTTAATTTTAAAAAATACAGGAAATATTTGAAAACCTAGTTTCTTCAATCAGGGAGAATGGGACAAAACGTCAAAGCTATAACCAAAGAATCGGTTCGATTCGTCACCAACCACCAAAATGAAAATCTAGAAAGTATCTCCAGAACTATTGACTTCAGTAATAATATTTTCAGTTTTTGAGATGTGAACCTTAAGATCTTGTAAAAGAGTGTATAATTCATTACAACACATGGAATATTTTACATACAACTAGTCAGTCATATACAACGTAGGATCTAGTACAAATATACAGTGAACCAAATTTCCACATCCCTTCAATAATGAGGAGTGAAATTAGGGGGATGGATACCCAAGTAGTACAATCAGTAATAGTGAGAAAATAAATAAAAAGATCACTCGAGATAGGAAATATAGTTTTAGAAGAAATATATTTTCAGGACGAAAAATATGCAATAATATCGACGCTCAGAAGCTAAGGGTAACTAAAGAACAGACGTATTTGCTCCTCTACAACTAATTCTGTGCTGTGATTCGTTCCCAATGGTTGACAACGATTATCGCACGGACTCAGATTAGAGTGTCCATCTGTTAGCACAACCAGACAGTCAGTGACTAATGCAGCACCTAGTTTTGTCCACCACTAGCTTCCTTCAAACCCACTTCTACGCCAGCAAGCATTTGGGTGATAAGATAGACAGCGGCTGAGTGTATATAATACATGAAATGGACTTATCCAGCAGCTAATTAAATCACTTAAATAAATAGACTCATTGAAAACCTATTAATTTTTATCAAGTGTGTGACTGGGATTGAATTGACTCATTTAAGAGATGAGAAATGTAAAACATAGGCTTAATACAAGTACACAGTCTTTTGTCTTCGATGCACAAATCTTGACTTCTTTATTTCATGTATTGTGACTTTCTAAGTGAACTTTACACTTTGTTATGCGAACAATATCATACTGAATTACTCGAAATACTTAAATCTTTTTAGGGGAAACACAAAATACTGAAACTTGAGCTGTTTCAAAAGAGTGACAGTAAACTAAGTAAACCTGTTGATTCTGGTCGTTCTAACACATCAAACACAACCGTTCTTGCTTTAGTTGAATCTCACTTAGTCAAGGTACCATAGAGAGTGACAACAGTTTTCTCATTGTTTTTATGAATACTTCTGCTGTGAGTAAAATCATTTTTGAGGATGATTCATACTGAAAAAAGGTATCCGTCAAAGTTCAGGTTATTGTTGCACACTTGAGAATGGTATGCAGTGTGAATATAAAGACTAGTATTACGAAGTGTGGACAAATTTCGCATAAGCTGGACGTAGAAGGAGAAGTAAAACTGAGCATGTATGGCTTTGTCTAGTTTGAATTAGACGCATATTGTCTTACACCGGACTCCGCTTTGCTCCCAAATATTGCTAAAACATTAATTTCGAAAAGACTCGGAAGATTGAAACATTGAGGTGTGACAAGGTAAGTCATGTCAAAACATGAATCGGTACACCGCGAGTCCGTCCCAAGTTGTCATGTACGGTACTAATGTTATGTAGGTTGAGATTACTCCTATCGAACATACAGACAATGGTTAAGGATAGCTGCGAAAAGGGGAATGCAACTCTCAAAAGAATATCCAATGAACAAAGCAACTGAAGTACGGATGAGAAGGGTGGGATATGTAAAAGCCAATTGTTTCACACAAGACAAATGATACACCATATTACCTTAAAAGGTGAGGAGAGAAGACATGGAGATGATAGAGTTCAGGCAGTTGGGTTTGAGAAGTCAATGAAGTTACATTAGAAAGGTATGAATGAAGACTTGAAAATCGTCTAATCTTTTCCTGCCCAGAACATATGGAATTTAAGAGTCGAACGACACAAAGCCGACGGGATGTCATGCTCACCGTAATTCTAACTTGTGTCGCCACAACTTTTCTGGTTGTTGACATTTCTCACGTCCCTTTAGTAGTGAGAACTTTAGAAGCATTTTGAAGAGAAACGGAGTTCTTTGGAAGGGAATGTGCATTAAAGCAAGTTCTGCCCAAGCTACCAATTTTGGGGAAACGAGACCCAAACCCAAAAATTTCCGTAATGTTGGCAGCTCGGGTGCACACAAAGTTCTGTCTTTCTACAAACTCTCAAGTTATCTATCAAGGCCGATTATAACCTCATTAGATGTGAAAATTACCCTTCCGCCAAAATAATAATGATAAGTCATGCGAATCGCTTACCCGGTAACGAAAGATTAGGAATAAAGGAAAAGAAAGCTATACATACCCAATATTACTAAACTTTATGTGCGCGGAACAACCAATATTGTGAAGAATGGATGGAAACTGAATTCGAAAATACTGAGGAAAGGTACATCTTACCATGGCCAAACTTCAGAGTTTGGCCATCATTAGACCGAACATATGAGTAGCGCACCATTTTGAAGATCCATCTCTTGGTGTCAGTCTTGAAACTCACTTGAGTAATTAGTGCTAATTTTTAGTATTGAAGTATCTATGTTTGAATAAAGATGGATTTCAAATAATATCCATAGGTGAAATGAAAGGATGAACAACTATGTGTGGTCTTTGAACACGTAACAATAGTTGGTCTAAGTATCAATGAAACTCAGGTAAATACTAAGGACAAAATTTATGAAACTATAGGACTTTGGCAGTAATAATTCTTCTCAAGTTGCATTTCTTAGCTCGCAGATTTATGCCAGTAAGAAGTCCTTCTTTAATATTGATGTGCTATTTATTTTCCTGCACCTCCTTCCAAAGCTTGTGGTTTCAGGTCATAGTTCTAACTCTTAGAGAGATTTTTCGTTATGTAAAACCGCAAACCAGATGGCCGAATCCATCTATGAGAACTCAGTGTTATCGGATGGAAAAGCGGTAAAAATGGTGAGACTATAATTTATGGACGACCTTAGAGCGACGCTGAAGTGGCCTTGAGAGCGGACACCTACTGATAAGGACTAAATGAAGGTTATGAAGCAGTTGAAATCCTCATTTGCAGTTGATGCTTAGGGTTAAAAACTAGATTTAGGGTTTTCATCACAAACTGACATCAGCTATAATGCCAAAACACTATTTAGCCAAATGTGGGGATGAATTTCGCGCCAAAATTTGTGACTCATTTTCTTATATGTGACTGGAAAACCATGGTTCCAATCTACACAAACGTGTTAGACATGTAAGGTTATTGCTTGGTCTTTCATCATTCTTTGATTTCACAGTAATTGATGGCAAAGATTGTTCATCTATGACAGTATTTCATTTGTCTTGATGATCTTCTTTGAAAGCAGGTTTAATTCTATCTGTAGAGAAAGTTTTCTTCTCCTCATCTTTGTTAATGACGAAATGTTTAATTGTCCATTTATTCACTCGGTAGGATCCTTTGTAGGGTTGCTTTAACGGCTTTTTAACAGCACCGACTGTAACAAAGGCAATTTTGCATGTTTGCAGGCGTCTGTTGAGCTGTATGTGACGGCTATGCTCATGTGGAGGCATTAGTCTAACTCGTTGCATTGTTCGTAGTACCGTTTATCTTATCAAATTTGTAAGCTTTTTCATGTACTGTTTTCCCCTAATAACCTTGGAGATTTCGAGCGTCCCTTCTTAGATGCTCCCACCGCATGACGTCAAGTATCCGAACCCATGCTTATTACTGTTAACGCCTTATCTGAATTCAGATTTTCGACATTCGGGGAGAATATCCCAAGTATTTAATATGCCCAGGCAGAAGCCCTGTTCATCTCTTGGAAAATTCCTTTGCAACCACCAAAATATGCATACGTAATGGGTTCTCTTCTCATCATAATTGCCGCAGGAGTTTGTGATCTAGTCTACCAGGTTCCAGAACACGAACCATATGACAAACTAAAAGCAGCAGTGATACAATGCAAATAGGCCCCCAATGAAAAGGGATTACATCAGCTGTTGACAGCATGTGATCTTGGGGACAAGAAACCGTCACGACTCTTACGACATATGAAGCAACTAGCCGGTCCATATAAAATAGACGAAGCCCTATTGAAACAAATGTGCCTGGAATGTTTACCACATAATGTAGGACAGATTTTTAGTGTGTTAGGGAACTCAATTACTTTGGGAAATTTACCATACATAACAGCCAAAAGGATGGATATCTATCCAGATAGCCGCAATCTAAACATTGTACAAGCCAATGGCAGTGCGGATACCAGTAGTTTAGGCACATTCCAACAACAGTTAGCTGGGTTGTCAAATAAGCTGGCACATGCCTCTCAAACACTTCAATAATTTATGGACGAGATCATAAGCGGCCTAAACTTTGTATTTGTTTATATCAACGACGTTTTGATAGCCAGTCCATCTACAGAAGAGCATGTACAGTATTTACAAATTCACTTCAATAGCTTCAAAAGCTATGGTGTTGTGAATAACCATTCAAACTGCATAATCAGTATTCCAGCTTTGGAGTTTCTGGGGCACCATAAGGTCTCACAGAGTATCAAACCACCCCGAAAAAGGTCGAAGCGATTATTAATCATTCAGAACCAAACTCATTAAAATCTTCGCGTCGATTTCAGGATATGTGTAATTTCTATCGTCGCTTCTTGTGAGGCTGGGTAGAAAAGAAGCGAAGACGAAAAAAGACAAGGCTTTCAATATATCACTTCATGCAAAATTTGCTTTTGTTAAAGCAAAGTCTGTGATGAGAAGCGCTACAATGTTAC